TTCATGGGCGCGACGTCTTTGATGTTGGCGCAGGTCTTAAAAGTACTTGTTGACTCTATCAACAGATTTGCTCTCAATTTCGATAAGCCTCCAGAAAGTTTTACATCATTATTGCTATTACAGCCACACAAAGCCACACGATAATGAACAACATGATGACAGGAATGCGGATTTTTATTCCAGGGAAAAATTAATTTTATATCAGGATTAATTAAATCAGTAACGTGAGACATTATTCAAATATTTTCTCCCTAATTAACTCGCTTTAGACGAATCTAATTGCTCTACACTGAAGGAACTGTTATAAAACTGCCATAAAATGCAATACAAAAATATTTTATTCTAGTTGGAGTTATAAACATCACGATTTCTGTTTTATCAGGTTTAGTAGTGGGGCGGATGTTGTTGTAATGTGTCATTAAATGAAACAATGCTTGCATTCTAATTCCAGTATTATTTTTACGATAACAAATTTTTGAAACTAAAAATTTGTCTTTATTCAACAGGCAAAAGGACATTGCTTTACTATATTGTAAACCGGGGATCACCAAAAATTCTTGCACGACATGAAAATAATAAAGGCTTATTTTTATTAGTTGTTTTGATTAGTTATTATTTGTTTTTTATTTAAACAGTTATAATTAATTAGATTCTTATTTTTAGTGCAATAAAACTCAACAGTATTTTTTTATGTATTATCACTATAACAATATGTTGATCTCTAACCTTTTGGAGGTTGGGAAATTTATCATTATATCCCGTGGTTTAGAAATAATTTATAACAAAGAAGTACTAAGGTTACGAGACCATTAAATGTCAAAAACTCAATTTGTTAGCAATTCAACTATGTCAATGCATCAACTTTGACAACAAAGTAGATTTTTATTATTATTTAAAGATAGATATTTATTATTATTTATAGAAATGTACTTGTGAATAAAATAGTATACAAATCTTGGTGGAAACCTTCGGGAATAATGGCAGATTTTTCACTTTGCAAACAATCTACTATTTATTTTGGTAATCAACAAATTTTTATTAATACAGTATTGGACAAGTAACAATAAAAATAACTAGATATAATATGTAGATAATGAGATAAAAATAACACAAAGGTATCCGCCAAACAATAAACTATATAGGAAAAGTACTGATATTTAACGTACAAAATGTTTAACAGCATTTTTTTGTTAATCAATAAATAATAAAAAAATTATATTTAATAATACCATCTTCAACAGTGGGAAGAAATATCTTACAGAAATTGTCCCTAGAATTTTTCCAGGTAAAACTATGAAGTTGAAAACGTGTGAATATTTCAATTTTTTGCTTCTAATAAATAAAGCAGTTTTAATAGAAATGTAGCCCAATTCTGGGCTGCTTTTTAAAAAAATGTAGACTAGCTTGAACAGAACAAAAACTGTTTTAATTGTCTTAAAACAAAAATTGATAAAAAATCTGAAATAAAATCATTGTTGAGTAGAATAAGAAAGTGTAATTATTTTCTCATTTTTATCTTTTTTTTATAATTCTTAATCATTTCTGACAGTCTTTTGCTATATTGAGTACTTTTCAATAAAAAGCCCAATTTTAAAAGGTTTTTCGAAAAACCTAGAATTAGTTTCAAGCAGTCTAAATATTCTAAAAAATGTTTAAAATATTTTTTTTTTACTTTTGGCTTAAAAATTGTTCATATCTTTTACTTCAATCTTCCTAGCAAAAATTTGGAAAGTTACAAAACAGAAGCAGAAATAAAACCAAACAAGTCTTTCAAAAATTTCTGACTTATCTCTTCTAACTTAATAAGAAATAAAAAAAATTGTAAACAGTTTTTTTTACTTTCAAGAGAACTAAAATAAGTAGACTTAATAAGAAAAAGAAAAGAGTAACAGAAATGCCGTAACCCAATTGTGGGCTGCTTTTTTAAATTTTAGATCAGATCCTATTAAAATAATTTAAAATAATTTCTTCCTTTAAAACATTTTTTCAAAAATTTGTTGTACTTATGGAACAATAAAGTTCTAGCAATTTCAATAACAATAATTAGATTATAAAGAAGAAAAAACCAAAGGCCAATATAAAGTAGATTTTAACACACAAATACCTAAGAGTAGAGCAAATTTTATTTTGAGCTTTGGCACGAATATTGATAATTTTAAACTTGTTTTCTAAATGGTTTGTCGAATCAAAATCAGTAAAATTTGATTCGAAGAAAATGTGTATTTTGCTTTAATGTTGAATGAGCGGTTTTCACGAAAAATGGAATCAGTCACAATTGACAACGAATTGTAAATAAATTGTATGTTCTTCCATAGATAGATTTACTGATAATAATGTGTACGAGAAATAATCATAAAAAAATCAATAGAAACAAATCGGAAAACGTACTATCTGATCGAACATAAAACTATGACAATAGGTGTTTTTTTATCCAAAAAAATTACTTATTTCTGAGTTTTAGTATTCGACCATCTGTTGTAAATTAATTTTGTTCATATTTCCTATATCTAATAAAGATTTAAATGAAATGGCTTTAGCATCGATTTATAGATTTCAATAATTGCTTTACAGCCCTAATTAATATAAATATCCACGCAGTTTATAACAGAACAATTTATGTAGATTAATGTCGAACTCACACATTGACGTGAAATTAAGTTGTTTATTTTCTTCGCCTTTGTTGAGGTGAAATCGCTCGGTTTCAGTTTCTTTGTATAAAAATCAGTCGTTAATAACGCCGGTATCAAAGTTTGTTCAGTTGTCGTTAAGTGTGCACCTCGACGTCAATAATATCGTATTAAAGCGTCGGTTTTTAAGACGATGTAAAATTTAACGATACATCGAAGGTCGAACAGCGCTGAGTTATTGGCGTTGGTTAATGCGATAGCGTCGTATTTTGCCTATACCCTCATTAGACGCCCTTAAGACAATATTGTCTTTAAGTTAATAAATCCCCATCTAGAAGTATAATGTTTACGGTCGTATTCCGGTGGCAACTTAATGATATTTTGTGACGTTCATTAAGTGTGTTTGTTCCCGAACCACTCCCGTTTCCATAACATAACCTAACGCTAGCGTGACGCAATCACGCTCTATTCACGCGCACTTCTAACCTGGGTCTCGTTTGTTTTTCGAGCGCCAATTATAAACGATCGATTGACGAAAAAAGAACCAGATAAATTGTCGGTAACGATGCTGTGTGTTTTTTTTAACGAACTCTTGTCAAACGATGATGTAAGCGAAATCACATAACGAGGAGGAAAAAATCCACTTCATAGTTTTCTTGTTTGCGTTTTTCTTCTACGGGCTCAAGAGGAAAAACGCACAGGTCTCCAGGGCTTCATTTCATTAAGAGGGATTTGCATTTATATGAGTTTAATTGTTTGGGGATTCGCCGCAATATCGAGCAGACTTAAATAAAATTCATATTTCACGAATATAAACCCTATTTTTAGAAATTTTTTTAACAGTAATTACCGCAAATAAAAATCAATGAAACGCTTTAAGGCCACTTTTGCTCCCTTTTGTCAAAAACTGCCACACTAAAAACAAGAATTAATAAACAGAGCACATTTCGTGTTTAATTTCTAAACTACTTTGAACTATTTTAGCTCACTGAGTAAATGCATAAGAATATAACATTGAAACTTTATTGTAATTAGTGTATGAAAATTATAAAATAGTACGTATATTAAAAACCCAGTTTTATAAGACCAGACTTGATGCACGAATTCAAGTTTAGAAAACAAGTGGCGTAATATGTCTATTAGGGAATGCAAATGAAGGCAAATTACTAAAAATGTATAAAAAGTATACAATACATAGAGTGTGTCAAAATTTGCACCCCAGAGAAAAATTTCAAGTAAGATAAGATACCAGAAACATGGAAAAAATATTTAGAAAATTTTCTGTCAAATTTTTTTGGACATTTGCCATTTTTTATGTCTATTTAATGATACAGATAATCTTGTATATGTTTTTTTATAATTCTATCAAAAAAATAATGATCTTTTAATGTACAAAACGTTTAACAGCAATTTTTTGTTGATCAATAAACAATAGAAAGTTAAAAAATATTTATATTTAATAATACCATCAACATTAACAAAGAAATTTCTAAAAGAAAAGTATCCAATTTTCCTTAGAATTTTGCCAGGTAGAACTATAAAGATGAATATTTCTATCTTTTGCTTCTAATAAATAAAGCAGTTTTAATGAAAATGTAGCCCAATTCTGCGCTGTTTCTTAAGAAATTTTAAACCAGTTTAGAAAGTACAAAAAAATGTTTAATTGTTTTTAAATAAAAATTAACAAAAAATCAGAAATAATTCTATTGCTGGGTCTTTACCAAAATGTTTTTTGAAAAACTTAGAATTAGTTTTAAGCAGTCCAAACATTCTAAATAAATTCTAAAATCTTAGACTTTGGTTTAATAATTATTCATTTTTTTCTCTTCAATTTTCCTAATAAACGATTGGAAAATTTCAAAACAAAAGCAGAAATAAAACCAAACAAGTGTTTTTAAAACTTCAGATTTTTTTCTTCTAATTATCTTAGAAAGTACAAAAAATTGTAAACAATTTTATTTTTCATAAGTGCACAATTTAAACTCTCATAACGTCGAAATTTTCATAGATATAATTTGTTTTACATTTTTTCCATGTTCCTGGTATCTTTTTTCTCGGGGGCGCGAGTTCTGGCGCACCGGTATACAGGGTAGAAATAGTAAATGATTTTTTTATTGTAATTGGCTCAAATAGTATCTTTAGTTTTTGTAGTAGATTCTATGTTGCCAAATACCTATATCCAAATCATATTCCACTTTGATTAAAACTTGAATTAAATTTAAAAAATAAAATGAAATATTTCAAATTGTGAGGTGCCGCTTCAAAAACGCAACTTTCTTTTTATTTTATATTACCATAGAATAATTATTACGTTTTAAATACATTTTTTAAACTAGATCTTTAAACACATATTTTTTTGAATTAGTGTGTTTTTTAAGCCACCTTTTATTTTATATTTAAATTATCAAAAATGACCAATTATGATATTTTTAATGATAGTTGATAAACAATATTTTCTCATATCTTCTCTTCTCGAAAATACTCCTCATGCCATATGGTCAAAACTGCAATCACGATAGCGCTACAAAACTATAAAACAAATAAAAAATTCGTAATAATTTTTAAAAACCACTTTTAAAACTGAAAAAGTGATGAAAATAATCGCTCGTATCAGCTCTCGTACAAAGCGAGCGTGTGTAATCATGGTATGACACCCAATCGGGTAGGGTTTTTGACACCTTTTGCCACTTTCACAACAACTGGGAGGATATCCGACCAAAACAGGATCAAATTTCTCTTCGTAATCATCAAATCCGAGAACTCCACAACACTGCCATTCGATTTCAATTTTATGAAATTCATCATTAAGGTTGGTTAATTCACTATTGAACATTTTTTGGAATCTCTCTTTTTCTTTCGGTGCTTCTTGGTGAGGAACGGCGATGCGAATTATAGTGACAAGGATTTGGCTTATACATGTCACAAATAAGAAAATTATTGACTGAAATTTTTGACTTAGAGTTAGAAAATTCCAAGTTAGTTTTTACGGCGTAGACGAGGCAATTGTCATCAATTTTTGTCCCGTAAAGACCAAGAGAGGCATTTAACATGGAACCAACTCCTACAAGCATCCATACGGTGAAAGTGGTAGATTTGCCTTCCGAGTCTAAGATTTTATCAACCACGGCCCACACTATCATTGCCATACCATAAATCTACCATTTAGATGTTTTTTAAACCACAACTTGCACCTGATTCACTTACCATCAACATGAAATAAAGAAAATAAATAACTTTTTTATTATTTCGAAATAAGAAATCCAAACATCTCATTTTGATAGTTCCTACTGTCAGTCATTTACGACCATTTCAGTGGCAACGCTATGAAAACTGAGCAAAAAGTAATTAGAAAAGTCATATGAAAGCGCATATTTCGTTCCATGTCCGGTTAATTTCAAATTCGAATTTTCAATGTTGCACATAAAGCGGACATTTCCTGCTATCTGTGCACAAATAAATTGCTCGGAATCGTAAAACTGCACTCAATTATGATAAGTTATTGTTGCACAAAGAAGTTCACAACGTTACAGTTTTAAGAGACAAACTATCAATGCGGGTAATTCGAGCATAGATTTGAGTGCATTCCAGCATGAAACACGCCTTGAATAAATTAATCGGTGTAGATGCACCTTATGTTTGAAATGGGGTAGAAATGTGAATTGGCCTAAATTGAAATTTAGAGCAATATGTTTTGATCAAATTGCTGGGTATGTGAGGCTTAACTTTCAAGGATTTAAATCAAATATTTTATAAGTTTTCTTGGTTTGTTAATTTAAATTTTTGAGTTCAAAAATCTTTACGTACTAACTTTGTTTGTTCAGTTTTCAGAAATCTTGCGAGGTTTTCTAATTTGAAGATGTTTGATTTTTATATACAAATTTGAATTTTTTTATTAGTTGCTGCAAGCTTATCATGTTTACTTTCGGTCTCAGTTTTTAAAACTGAAAATTTAACATTTTGTTTTTAAGTTTTAAATTTTGAAAATTTATAAATCTCTCAATCATTACCAAGTTCTTCAGTTATTATTGTGTCAAATTTTAAATTTTCAGTATTTTTGCTATTCAAATCTTCAAAATTAGGTACAATTAGAAACTCCAAGTTTCTAGACTTAAAACATATTAACAATTTTTTTTTAACATTAAAAAGGTGTTTCTGTATTTTTTAATTCGAGTTTAATTAGGTTTTTAGTTTTAACGTTCAGGTTCCAGTCCGCTTTCGAAAGCAAATTGTATTTTTTAAAGTAAATTTTTTAGTAATTTTAAGCTTCAAATTAATACGTTTCAGATTTTTAAAATAAAATATTTCATTTTATAACAACATTTTTCGGCTTAAAGTTATCCTTGATTTTTCATGTGTGAATTAGTGCTAATGTTTAGGTTTTCAGATTATTTTGCTTTTAACGGGAGTAATTTGTTTGCTTTTTTAAATCTATTGAAGTTCTATAGTAAAGACTGTTAGTTTTTATGAAAAAAAAAGAGAAAACATGTTTCAGTTTTTCAGTATTTTAGTTTAGATTACATTTCAAAAATTTTAAAATTTAGCAATTAGTGAATATGTTTTTTTATAATTGCTATCTTAAATGAATTAAATTTTATGGTTCAACACTTCACTTCATTAGAAGATTATTCATTTTTTGGTGTAGACTGATCCAGATTTTTAATCGTCATCATGTTGTTTAGAGTTTCCAACTTAGGTTTATTTCTAATTTCCCTGATCTTTGTACATGAAGACTATTAACATTAACGCTTTCTCATTTAGCTTACAAAATGTATTTCTAGGTTTTCTAATTTGAACTTAACTGTCTTTTCAAGCTTTTAATAGTTTTTGGTATTGTTCTGTTATTATCTTTATTGCAATTTTTTTGTGTAAATTCATAATTATCTTATATTCTAGGTTTCTTTGTTTTCAAATTAATTTTAAGTTTACAAGCTTGTAATTTCAATTTTTTTATATTTATTAATAGTTGAGGTTTTAGGTTTTTAATACTCGTGGTTTTTCATATTGTCTTAACAAAAAGTTAAAACTTTGATGACAAGCAGTTATCGGATCAAAGCTTTGCCTTCTTTTGTCCCTCGTCTGTTCAAAAGCTCCTGTTTGGAAAATATAATAATCGTCTCTTTCTCTGGCGAAACTTTTGAGAAATGCGGACAATTTTAGAATAAACAGAGGCAAAGAAATGCATTTATTAGACGACCAATGGACGAGGCGAGGATTCCAAACATAAGCTGATAAATTCCAGGTGGAAAATTCCAAAACAATCCGTTTTCTAATGTTATTATTTCATCAAGTTTTAATATAGATATTTTTACATAGAATGTAAGGAAAAATCAGTGAAAAGGTCGTAAAGGTTTCGTTCTGTAGAGTGAATTTTAAATGCTAGTACGGTCCACTAAACATTCGGAACAATGATCAAGCAACGGTTAGGACGTGTTAACAGGGTCTCCATATATGCGTTAAACATGGGACAGACACAATATGTGATAAAAGCGAGATGCGTATGCCGTTTTTGGACCGAGAGTTTCAACTAATCGACCGTAAAGTGTGAGAGGAAATCAATACTCGACAAAGTGATTACATATAATGCTGCACCACAAAGAGATAAATCACATATTGGCGATGAAGAGAGAAATTTTATTCATTACCACCGGAATTGCATTTCTCACTTTTAAGCCTGAATAACAGTAGGTTTTATTATGGTCCAAAAGATCCAAAAAAAAATGTTTCGAGAAAGAACTCACATTTTCAAACATAAGGTCATTTTTTTGTTTTTTTTGCCAGCGGTGGCTCACTTCGAATTATTAAAAATTTAAACAAAATCGGATAATAAATAATGAAGTTAGAGCAATTTTTTAGATAGTTATAGTGCTAAGCTAACCCCAAAATTTACAAATGAGAGATAAGCACTTGACAAATCTTCGAAAATGATTCAAAAGTACATAATTTGACAGATTGGTTCTTTATATACAATCATTGTAAAATTTAGAATTATTTGAACCAAATCGGGGCCGTAATGACCAGTTTTCTGATTCAAAATAATCTAAATAAATTCCAATTCTCAAACAAAAGACCATTTTTTCGTGTTTTTTGCTCACTTAGAATGAATTACGGAAAATTAAAAATTTCAAGAAAATTGGTCAATGATTAATAAAATTACAATTTTTTTTTAGTTGAATTACTAAACTAGTAACATATCCCATTTAACGTATTTAGATCGAGAATAAAGAACAACACTATAATTAGCAAGTAAATAAACCAAATAATGAAAACGCGTTGCAAGTAGTGAAATCATAGCAACGCTTATTAATGTAACTAGTGCATGACTAGTGCAGTTAGTAGTGCTAATTGTTGAATGATGATAATCTACAATGTATGTACCTCGCTAAAAATTGCTAAAGCAGCAAAAAAAACAATATTGGTAAATGTCAATAAGGTCATGTTAAAAGTAAAAACGCTTAAGCGCAAAAATAGAATTTATACTCCATGACTGAAAGGTAAAACTTTAGACATTTAGACATAAAAATGGTTACTTTAATTTTTTTGAGACATTATAAACAGCGTAGTTACGTCAGACTCGTCAGAGTATAATTTTACTGTTTTTCCTTATCTGAAGTATTTTTACAATTTGAAAAATGAAGATGCAAACAATTTTTTTTTCTTTTTAAATGAAGGTTTTCAATTTTCTAAACACTCGTTTACCCAGTAAACAAGAATTTACACATATTAACACTGTTTCATAATTTCGTAATCCTTTACTACCAATTGTCTCTCGAGATCAAAGCACTACATTTATGTTTGTCAAGCCACCCCGAATCGAGTAGTTGTTAGATCCATCGTGGACCCTCGTGAAAGCCTAATCTTTGGAGGGTCTCCGTTCTGACTTTATTAACATAGATATGAGCATCGGTGTACGTTTGGGTTTCGATTCATCATATTTCTGTCTAGAAATCTGCTGTTCGTCACGACATCGTCTCGTTTGTCTCACTGGATTCCACCTCACTTCTCTTTATTCAATTTACATGCAAATGTACCCACCTCGGGTGCCACTTCCTTTTCCGGCAACTTTCGACTCGTATCAGACATTGACAGATTTTAAACTGGATTTCTTCAATCAGTTTAACAAATCCATAGCGGATGCGAAATAAGAGGAAATTAAAATTAAATTTTAGGTTTGTTGTTTCAATTTTACGTTTCCTGTTTCTGCATTAAAATAAAATCAGTATTTGGGGTTGTTGTCTTTACATTCTCATTCGTCTTTGGATAAAATAACACGCAATCAACAAGATATAGCCATCCCGAGGAAAGTATTGATTGAGTGGAGAACGTCTCCGTGTTTGTCAACTCTCCAAACTGTCGATAATTGTGCCGTATTACAAATAGTGATACACAATTTAATGAAATTGATGTTTGTCTAACATTTCTCACACCACTAATATATTAATATCATGTAATACAATACAATTGTCCGTAAAGTGGTACTTTTTTGACTTATGTCATTTAGTTATCTTAACATTTGTATGATATCTTACTAAAACGTGATACCTCCAACGCTCTCAACCCGTGTAAATATTAATTAACTATCTCTCTCGTGCAAGAATAGCAATTGGTTTTGGAGAGGGGACCACGGAGCAATTTTATTGGACACTATAGCAAAAACTATCAAATTTTAGAAATAAAAATTCAATGCAACCTTCACTGCAATAAGCGAATATTTGGGCCAAATGTCCATAAAAATGAAAAGTTAAAAAAAATGACCAAGAGTGCGTTCAATTTCAATCATTTAATCGCACACTTCTGACAGGTGGTGACATTTCGCGTCAATGTGGTTCACACTCTTCAAGAAAATCAAACAAAAAGAATAAAAAAAAGTAGACGTTACTGGTGTTTTGAAAAAAAGCAAAAGAGTGGCGTAACCTTTACTAAGTAATTGTAAATAAACATATACAAGATTAACGATATTTTTAAATCGACATAAAAAAATGTTAAAAAATAAATGTCAAACATTTTTTCCATGTGCGCTATGTGTGGAATTTCAAGTAAGATAAGATACCAAGAACGTGAAAAAAATGTTAGAAAAATTCTATCTGTCAAAACAATTTTGACATTTAATTTTTGACATTTGACTTTTTTTTTATATCTATTTAGGGATACTGATGATGTTGTATATGTTTTTTTACAATTATTTGGTAAAGGGACAAAAATTTTGCCAATAAAAGCCACAAATAACATTGATATATAACATTACAATTTAGGATACAGCTTCCTTGTTTCCTCTTTTAATAGCCTATAGCAAAAATCTTGGAAAATTATTTTTCCAACAGAAA